CGCCAGGGGGAGGTCACTAGTCGAATCAGGGCCGCCAACTCCACTCATTCTCGTCTGCTTCGTCGTGCTTCCAAGAGCGGGTTCAGCCCCAAGTTGAAGATCAGATTGTGGAAGGCCTTGGCGAGGTCAGTATGTCTGTATTGCCTGGAGATCGCCAACCTCACCAAGCGGGAGCTCAACAGGCTGGAGAGCTGGCAGGTGAAGACGCTCCGTGGGTTGCTGCACTCTCCCGCCCACCTGTACAAGCAGACCAACCGCGAGATCAGGAAGCGAGCCCGCGCGCCGACGGTCACAAGCACATTGCTGTTGCGAAGGTTGAGGTGGTGGCAGAAGGTGTTGTGGCCGGCCTTCAGGGACCCCAGCGAAGATCTGTACGACCCGACGCTGGCGGTCAGGGCGGTCGTCTTTGGCCGTCTCTCGTTCGATCAGGTCGGCCAGGGTGAGCATTCTGGCCTGCTGACGCTGCTGCTGGACGACATGCGGCAGATGTGGCAGACAGCAGACGCTCGGGAGAAGCTCACGGCTCGCCAGCTCTTCCTGCTGCACGGCGACCTCCCTGAGCTGGCCGAGCGCCCTGGCCGCGGTCGGCATCAGCCTGCAGTACGACATCGCGACACGCTCGAAGGCGGCCAAAGAGGTCGAGGCGCTGGCGTTCAAGACGGGCAAGGGCGGCGCACAGGCAGCAAAGGGCAAGAAGCCGAGGAAGCAGTAGGTGAGGGTGCTGCGACTTCAGCACCGTCGGCAGCAAGGATGCCAGCGCCTACGCCAGCGCCGACACCAGCACTTACCCGTGAGCTGCGAGGCTTTGCCACCGCCGCCGAGAGTCTCCACTCCTCCCTCTCCTTTACCTCCCCTTTCGACCTCCCCCTTCCCCTCCCGACCTCTCAGACACAGCTCGAAAAATATTTTCAAAGGGGGCCACGCTAAACTGCGGGGGACCCTTGCGCCATGCCCCTCACCAGAGGGGGGGGGGAAGCCGTCCTCGCAGGTGCCACTCCCACAGGGGTGGGGGTGCGCGGGTGCGGGGTTGGGGGCCACCGTGCTCTCCGCTCGCGCCCGCTGTCCGTTTTCAGGGCCTCGATCGACCTCGATCGCGCTGCGTCGTTTTCTCGGTAGTTGCTGGTGCCCCCGCGAAACTTCCTGGGCTAAGGGGAGTCGCGTTGAAAAAAAAAGGAAGGCGGGCGGCGGGGCTGAGGCAATTGCTGCCTCGTCGCCTCGCGCCCGCCCTCGTCCCGGTTCGGGCTGCGGTCGGGCCTCGATCGCGCGGCGCGGTTGGTCCGGGAGTCGCCGGTGTCCCCGCGGAGCTTCCCGAGCAGCGGGAGCCGCGTTCCCCCAAAAGAGAGAGCGGGCGCCATGCGGGCTCCGGCACAGTTCGAGGCGTCTGGGGTCTGCTGTGCCTCGAAGGAGACAAAGCGCCATAAACAGAAACTTGTGGCGCTTCGCGCGGGTTTCTTGGATACGCGCTGGCCGCGGAGCGCGCCAGGGAGGGGGGTCCAGCGCAGATCCAAGAAATCGGCGCGGAGCGCCAAGAGTTTCTGTTTGTGGCGGTTCTTCTTCTTCTTGGTGCCGTGGCATCCTGTGCCTGGGCATTCCGAGGATAGTGCTGCGCCGCGAATGCGGTTGCGTTTCGTCGGGCCCCTCGCAGGACACCTCCGGCCGAGTCTTGTAGGGTGCAGCGCCGGAGAAGGAGAGGGAAGGCTGGCAGCAGGCGGCGGCAGCAAAAGTCCCCCCCGCCCAAAAGAGGCGGCATCGCTTTTGGGTTGCAGGGTTGCTGGGATCGGCCGCTGGGATCCGCCGTGTTTTGGCTGGCCCGCCGAGGAGGAGGAGGAGGAGGAGGAGGAGGAGGAGGAGGAGGAGGAGGAGCAGGAGCAGGAGCAGGAGCAGGAGCAGGAGCAGGAGCAGGAGCAGGAGCAGGAGCAGGAGCAGGAGGAGTAGATTTCAACTCGAGATCCTGGTCAGAACGTGCCCGGGAGAGGTCCGGGGAGTACACGCCGGTCGTTGGAAGTAGGTATTCTTGGATACCCAGATCCCAATCTACTTCAAGCGCCTTCCTACTTCAAGAATCGACCTGATTTTGCTTTGTTTTGTTATTCTCTGGGAGGGCCTGGACCCAATCCACTTTATCCACCTTCCTACGCTATGTTTTTACCTACTTCTCCCGACCGACGTGTAGCGGCATCGGTACCTGTTGGTTTCCCATGCCCCGGCTCCGGCTCCACCGTGCTCCGGCCGGTACTCTCTGGGAGGGGGAGGTCGAGAGGATGAGGGGGGAGGGTGGCGGGGGGAGCTCCAGGTGCTCGCTGCTCTCGTGGAGGCTTCTCTTCGCAGGCTCTCGTCGTCTGCGTGGCTTCCTGGAGGTCGTGGTTCTTCGTGGTGAGGGCCTAGCCTAGGGAGCAGGGGGAAGAAGGAGGAGGAGCAGGAGGGGGAGGAGGAGGAGGAGGAGGAGGAGGAGGAGGAGGAGGAGGAGGAGGAGGAGGAGGAGGAGGAGGAGGAGGAGGGAGGAGTGAGGAGGAGGAGGAGGAGGGAGGGAGGGGGAGGGGGGAGGGGGAGGAGGGAGGAGGAGGAGGAGGGGAGGAGGAAGGAGGAGAGGAGGTTTTGTGTTCGCGTCGCCTCGTGCTGCCTGCCACCAGCTGCGCCTCGCCGAGTGTTTTCCGGGAGGGGGGGGGGGGCCGGCATCGTCTCGCACGGCCGCCGCAGGCCATCGAGGTATGTCAGGAGGGGAAAAAGCACGCAGACACAATCATCCTCGATTCCCAGGAAAATATGGGAAGATATGGGAAGCGGGGGGGAAGACAGAAACCCAAAACATATGGGATAATATGGGTAATCCTGTTATCTGTGTTTATTTATTTGTGTGTCCCACGGCGATCGTTGTCTTCGTGGTTTCCTGAAGGTGGTGTCGCCGCCGCAGGTTCGAGGTATGTCAGGAGGGGAAAAGCACACAGACGCAATTCATCCTCGATTCCCCAGCAAGTATGGGACGATATGGGAAGCGGGGGGGGGAAGACAGAAACCCAGAACATATATGAGAATACAGGGGAATTTGGTTATTTGTGCTTATTAATTTGTGTGTCCCAGGGCCCCTTGATCGTTGTCTTCGTGGTTTCCTGAAGGTGGTGTCGCCGCCGCAGGTCCGAGGTATGACCCGCAGAACCAGCCCTACGACTCCTCCTCCTCCCCCTCCTCCTCCTCCCCCTCCCTCCTTTTCCTCCTCCTCCTCCCTCCTCCTCCTCCTCCTCCCTCCTCCTCCTCCTCCTCCTCCTCCTCCTCCTCCTCCTCCTCCTCCTCCCTCCCTCCCCCTCCTCCCTCCTCCCTGTCCTATCCTCCCTCCTCCCTCCTCCCTCCTCCTCCTCCCCCCCCCCCCCTCCCCCTCCTCCACCTCCCTCCTCCTCTTTCTCCTCCTCCTCCTCCTCCTCCTCCTCCTCCTCCTCCTCCTCCTCCTCCTCCTCCTCCTCCTCCTCCTCCTCCTCCCGGTGGCGGTTCTGTCTCGACTGCGAGGGCGTTATGGCCGGCGCCGCCGACCCTGAAGGGGGAAGATGACGACGACGACGACGACGACGACGACGACGACGACGACGACGACGACGACGACGACGACGACCATGAGGGCGACCCTGAGGACGACCCTGAGGACGACCCTGAGGACGACCCTGAAGACGACGACGACGACGACCACGACGACGACGACGACGACGACGACGACGACGACGACGACGACGACGACGACGACGACGACCCTGAGGACGACCCTGACGACGACCCTGACGACGACCCTGAGGACGACCCTGAGGACGACCCTGAGGACGACCCGGAAGACGACGACAGCGACGGCAACGACGACCCTGACGACGACCCTGACGACGACCCTGAGGACGACCCTGACGACGACCCTGAGGACGATCCTGAGGACGACCCTGACGACGACCCTGATGACGACGACGACGACGACGACGACGACGACGACGACGACGACGTTCTGGAGCCGAAAGCTTCTCCAATGGAGGGGTGGTCCCATCCCAGGGGGGTGTCACACCTCCCTCCCAACCCTCCCCAGTTTCCCCTCCTCCTCCTGCCCCTCCTCCTACTACTCCTCCTCCTGCCCTCCTCCTCCTCCTCCTCCCTCCTCCCTCCTCTCTCCTCCTCCTCCTCCCCCTCCTCCTCCACCTCCTCCTCCTCCTCCCCCCCCCTCCTCCTCCTCCTCCTCCTCCTCTCCTCCTCCTCCTCCTCCTCCTTTCCTCCTCCTCCTCCTCCTCCTCCTCCTCCCGGTGGCGGTTCTGCCTCGACTGCAAGGGCGTTATGGCCGGCGCCGCCGACCATGAGGGGGGAAGATGACGACGACGACGACGACGACGACGACGACGACGACGACGACGACGACCCTGACGACAACCCTGACGACGACCCTGAGGACGACCCTGAGGACGACCCTGAGGACGACGACGACGACGACGACGACGACGACGACGACGACCCTGACGACAACACTGACGACGACCCTGAGGACGACCCTGAGGACGACCCTGAAGACGACGACGACGACGACGACGACGACGACGACGACGACGACGACGACGACGACGACGACGACGACGACGACCCTGACGACGACGACGACCCTGCGGACGAGCCTGACGACGACCCTGACGACGACCCTGAGGATGACCCTGACGACGACGACCCTGAAGACGACGACGACGACGACGTTCTGAAGCCGAAAGCTTCTCCAATGGAGGGGGGGTCCCATCCCAGCGGGGTGTCATATTCCCCCCAACCCTCCCCAGTTCCCCCCCACCCCACCCCCGCCCTCTCGGCGGGGGAGGGATCAAATGGGAGGGGCTTCCCTTCGACGCTGGCTGGAACTCTTGAGTGGTTGACGACGTCGACGACGGCGACGACGCTCACGCTGACAGGTCGGCGGATCTCGTCATTTGGGGGCTGGTTTCGAGCCAGGGGGCCATCAAACATTGATCACCTGATTCAGGCCCCGTCGTACTCTCACGAGCCGCTTGGGCTCTGGCTGCCGCTGTCCCGCGAGCGGTTTGACACATCACATTTTGGTGACGCCCCGACCGCCACACGTAAATTGGATCTTCTGTTGGCTGCGGAGCACTAGCTTGCAGAATGTTCCAGCCGACGCAAAATGTGAGGGACGAGGTCATGAAGTTCTTCTCCAGTCAGGGAACACATTTGAAGTCCCGCCCAGAGCTTCGTTGTTTCGTTGGCGCCTCCGGTGATGATTTCCACCTTCTCCTTGGAATGACAAAGCGAAGCATTCAGCAGATAGCAGGGACGATTGGCTTTACTCCAGAGGGTTACAGCCGTAAGGCTGCGTTTGAAAAGTGTGGGAAGTCCGATTACATCACCCCGATGTGCGGCCCTGAGCTGACAGGATACGATTTTATCGAGAGTATCAAATTGTGGATGACAGATACTAACAATAGAGAATGGTCTGTTGCAGAAGTATGGCTCTCCAGAAAAGACCGTGGTGTGGGAATGGCCACCCTATTCGTGTCTCACGTGCAGGCGCAGCCATTAGAGGCTACATTGAAAGCTGTACCCGACGATGCCCACTTATGGCTTGATTATCGAAGGCGCTACGGCGAACCACCGCCGCTCCCTGCCTTTTGGCAGCGCCCATGCGGCCAAATGTTGGGCCAACATCTGTCCAAGCTAATCGGCTATGTGCTCTCCCAGCCTTTGTGGAACTCCTTGGCCCCTTGGGGGTACACCTGTGAGAGAAAGAGCCAGAAGGAGGAGAGAGAGGACGAGAGGGAGGAGGAGGAGGAGGAGGAGGAGGAGGAGGAGGAGGAGGAGGAGGAGGAACAGGAGGCATCTTGAGGCCGTCTTGCTGCTTCCTGGGTGCTTCCCGGGAACCTCTTGGGGGCCTCTGGGGACCTCTTGGGAGCCTCCCCGGGCCCCTTTGGGGCCCGCGGGGCCTCTCGGGGGCCTTTAGGGACCTCTTGACCTTCGGAGGCCGTCTCGGGGGCCTCTCTGGGAAGTCGTGGGTCCCTCTTCGGGCTGTTCTGGAGATCCATGGGGCCGTCCTGGGTGGTCCCTCCTGAGCCGTCTTGGGGGCCTCTTCGGGGCCTCGTGGGCCGCCTCGGGGCCTTCTTGGGGGCCTGCGGGCCGTCCTGGAGCATCGAGTGCCCGAAATGGCGAGAACGCTAAAGCCTTTGACAAACCCACGGGCAATCACTGATCTGGGCCTCCTGGAGGTCCTCTTCGGGCCCTCTGGGGGCGTCTTGCCTGGCCCTCCTGGGCCGGCCGTCCAGAGGAGGGCGTCCTGGGCCGCCTCGGGGCAGTGCCTGGCCGTCCCGGGATCGTCTTGAGCTCCCTAGGAACTATCTTGGATCTTGGCCGTCCTGGAGGCCATCTCTTGGCCGTCTCGGAGGCCATATCTTGGCCGTCTCGGAGGCCATATCCTGGCCGGCCTGGGGGCCACATCCGTGCCGCCCTGGGGGGAAAGGAGGCCGACGGAGGCCGCGCGGGATCGGCCGAGGCTCCAGTTGGGACTCTGGTCTTAGCAAGAGAACAAGCTTCCCTCGCTCCGTCCTCCCCCCCCTCCTTGTCGTCGTCGTTGTCGTTGTCGCCGTCGTACACGGCCACGCCGCATGGGACAACTCAGCGGCCAAAGCCTTGCCAGCGCACGTCTGCACGGCAGCTGCTCCTGGATGCGGGCGCCGGGATCCTTCACCGCTTTGCCAGTGCACATCTGCACGGCATTCTCTCTGCCGATGCGCCGTCGAGGCGCCTGGCTCCTGCCGCAAGAGGACAAGGTACTGGAACGGTCGGCGCCGGCAGGGGGCGGCGGCTCCTCCCTTCGGCCAGCCCCGAGAACGTGTCAGCTCACCGAGCGCGTTCCACTGTCAGCATCGTTCGATCGATCCCTGTCCCCGGCCCGCCACCGTGTACACCTCGAGCCCCGCCGTCTCGTCACCTCAGTCGGGGATAGGCCCCTCGAGGCCCGAGGAGAGCAGCCTATATACACCCCTCCAGGGGGGTAGAATCGGCCAGTGGGGCCCAGCCCTCGCTGGTGGGAATGGGGATCGGATAAAAGCGATGCTCGCACTGCTCGCAAAGCGCCTACTCTTATGTCGGGCGTGTCCGCCTACAGGGGGATCTTCGACGAAAAATGAAAACATACCCCCAAGATGCCCCCCAAAGGTAAAACAAGTCCCCAAAAGATAGTCTCCTGACTATTTGGGGAGTATTCCTTGCCTATTTTGGGGGTATTTTTTTGGTTCTTCGTCGAACCTCTCCCTGGTCGGGGGACAGGCTCGACGTGAGCCCGCTCGCGCGCGTCCGAAGAGCGCCGCCTCGTGGCGCCGGGGGGGCCGAGGCCGCGAGGGGGGCCGAGGCGGCGAGGGGGGGGGCGAGGGGGCCCTGGCCGCCGCTCTGGCAGGACAGCCTACTGCTCTGCCGCGGCCGGGCGCGGAAGAGGGCCGCGAGGCGGTGTCCTGCGACGCCCCGTGGGGCCACGGCACTTGTGTGCCTGCGTATTCGGCACTCGGCGTTCTTTCTTTCTCTTCCCCTTTTTGTTTATTAATATTTCTTTCTTTTTTTTTCTCTCTCTCTCTCTCTCTCTCTCTCTCTCTCTCTCTTTCGCGCGATATATATATATATAGAGAGAGAGAGAGAGAGAGAGAGACGCAATGGATCACGAATCCCCCGCGGCGGATCCAGGCCATGTCTGTTCTGCGAGTGGTGGAACGCGCCTGTCTAGCAGCGCAGCAGCACAGAGAAGGGAAGGCCCAGTTCAAGAGCCGTTCCAGCTCGGTGCGCTTTCTGCTCGCTCTGCGGGGTCTCGAACACCCCTTGTCTCGAAGACGAAAAATCGCCATGAATAGAAACTCTCGGCGCTCCGCGCACCCTTCCTGGACTCGCGCCAGGGGGGGGGATCCAGCGCGGATCCCCAAAAACATCCGCGCGCAGCGCCAAGCGTTTCCGTTTATGGCGTGCTTTCTTCTGTTGTTGTCCCAAGCCTTGTCGTGGGGGGCCGTCTCGGGGGGCCGTCCTGGGGGGCCTTCTCGGGGGCCTCCTGGGTGTTTTGGCACGGGGGCCGCCGAGGGCCTCGGGGCCCTCTCGAGCGCGACCGCTAAACATCGTCTTTGGTGCGCCTTGGCGGGCCGAAGGGGGCTCTCTGACGCTTTCCCGATGCCGATCTTCAATCGAAGAGCTTGGGAGTCACACAGCCTTGACATTCGGCTCACTGTTCGTTGCGTCGGGCCTTCAACGGTCTCGCCGCTAACTGCCTCTTCGGTCGTGGGTTGTTAGGCCGTCTTGGATTGGTCCTCGCAGCTTGCGGCTGTCTCGGAGCAATACTTGGCCATGCGGGAGCCTTCTAGAAGCCGAGAAGGTTGCCAGTGAGCAGTACGCCATCCTAGAAGGGGCAGTTTCCGAAGGCTGCTTCCTACGAGGGGGTCGCCCTTCGAAAATTGCAGAAGAAACCCTAGGAGACAGCTGACAACCATTCTAACACTCCACTCCGCTACCGTGCAGGCACGGTGGCGGATACCACACTTCGCCAATGCCAAGACGACTTTGAACCTGAGAGAGTGGCTGGCGTAATCAAGTATTTATCAAATGCCCACGATGGCACGCGCGCAGTACTGGATGAGCCGTCGCCGACCTACTTGAACAGGTCTTTTTGCATATTTGAGGTTGCTTGCACCGTGAGCAGTAAACTTCACGTCGATATGAGCGACGATACCTCGTTCAAGTTCGTAGAGGGCGCCTTCCCCGTTGACGCGAAAGCAGCCACATCGACAAAAGAGAAGCACAAGACCTTGGTGGATGGTTACATTCTTGGGCAGTGGGGGTCTTTCATAGAATTCAATGACAGCGTTTCACTATCGTTCATGTCGGCGGCCGTGGGCCGCCTGGTGGGCCTGCTGGCCGGCGGCGCCCCCGGCGCGCAGGAGCAGGCGGCGCGCGCGCTGGCCAACCTGGCCGTCAAAGACGCCGAGAGCCGGCACGCCATCGGCCGGGCCCCGGGCGCCGTGGAGGGCCTGGTGGCTCTGCTGGCCGGCGGCGCCCCCGGCGCGCAGGAGCAGGCGGCGCTCGCGCTAAGAAACCTGGCCTGGGAAGACGCCGAGAACCGGCGCGCCATCGGCCGGGCCCCGGGCGCCGTGGAGGGCCTGGTGGGCCTGCTGGCCGGCGGAGCCCCCGGCGCGCAGGAGTGGGCGGCGCGCGCGCTGGCCAACCTGGCCCGCGACGCCGAGAACCAGCGCGCCATCGGCCGGGCCCCGGGCGCCGTGGAGGGCCTGGTGGCTCTGCTGGCCGGCGGCGCCCCCGGCGCGCAGGAGCAGGCGGCGCGCGCGCTGGCCAGCCTGGCCGACGACGCCGAGAACCGGCGCGCCATCGGCCGGGCCCCGGGCGCCGTGGAGCGCCTGCAGGGCCTGGTGGCCGGCGGCGCCCCCGCGCGCATGAGTGGTCGGCGCGCTGCGCTGGCCAACCTTTGGGCCCGCGACGCGAGAACCAGCGCGCCATCGCCGGCCCCGGCGCCGTGAGGCCTGTGGCCTGCTTGGCCAGGCGCGCCCCCGCTCGCAAGAAGCAGTGCGGCCTCCCGCCGCAAGAAACCAGGCTGGGAAGACCCGAGAACCAGCGCGCCATCGCGGGCCCCCGGCCCGTGAGCCCTGGTGGGCCTGCTGGCCGGCGGAGCCCCCGGCGCGCAGGAGTGGGCGGCGCGCGCGCTGGCCAACCTGGCCGACGACGCCGAGAACCGGCGCGCCATCGGCCGGGCCCCGGGCGCCGTGGAGGGCCTGGTGGGCCTGCTGGCCGGCGGAGCCCCCGGCGCGCAGGAGTGGGCGGCGCGCGCGCTGGCCAACCTGGCCCCCGAACGCCGAGAACCAGCGCGCCATCGGCCGGGCCCCGGGCGCCGTGGAGGGCCTGGTGGGCCTGCTGGCCGGCGGCGCCCCCGGCGCGCAGGAGCAGGCAGCGCGCGCGCTAAGAAACCTGGCCTGGGAAGACGCCGAGAACCCGGGCGCCGTGGAGGGCCTGGTGGCTCTGCTGGCCGGCGGCGCCCCCGGCGCGCAGGAGCAGGCGGCGGGCGCGCTGGCCAACCTGGCCGTCGACGCCGAGAACCGGCGCGCCGTCGGCCGGGCCCCGGGCGCCGTGGAGGGCCTGGTGGGCCTGCTGGCCGGCGGCGCCCCCGGCGCGCAGGAGCAGGCGGCGGGCGCGCTGGTCAACCTGGCCTGCGACGACGAGAACCAGCGCGCCATCGGCCGGGCCCCGGGCGCCGTGGAGGGCCTGGTGGCTCTGCTGGCCGGCGGCGCCCCCGGCGCGCAGGAGCAGGCAGCGCGCGCGCTAAGAAACCTGGCCGTCGACGCCGAGAACCGGCGCGCCATCGGCCGGGCCCCGGGCGCCGTGGAGGGCCTGGTGGGCCTGCTGGCCGGCGGAGCCCCCGGCGCGCAGGAGCCGGCGGCGCGCGCGCTGGCCAACCTGGCCCACGACGACGAGAACGTGCGCGCCATCGGCGGGGCCCCGGGCGCCGTGGAGGGCCTGGTGGCTCTGCTGGCCGGCGGCGCCCCCGGCGCGCAGGAGCCGGCGGCGCGCGCGCTGACAAACCTGGCCGTCGACGCCGAGAACCGGCGCGCCATCGGCCGGGCCCCGGGCGCCGTGGAGGGCCTGGTGGCTCTGCTGGCCGGCGGCGCCCCCGGCGCGCAGGAGCAGGCGGCGGGCGCGCTGGGCAACCTGGCCGTCGACTCCGAGAACCAGCGCGCCATCGGCCGGGCCCCGGGCGCCGTGGAGCGCCTGCAGGGCCTGGTGGCCGGCGGCGCCCCTGGCGCGCAGGAGGAGGCGGCGCGCGCGCTGGGCAACCTGGGCAGTGGGAGGTGCCCGCTGCTGTAGGCGCCGCCGCCCCGGCCGTCGGCGCAGAGCATCCGCGCGTGGCCGCGCCGCCGGGCGGCGGCAGCGTCTTGATTTCTCAGGACGGCGTCCCCAGAAACTCCCGCCCTGACTCCAGATCCGCCCTACTTCGTTTTTTTTCCAACTTAGGATTGCGTCGGAAATCCACTTGTAAAACGCCGAAGCTGTAGGGCGGAAATTTCTGCACCCAACAGAAGGTAGGGCGGACATCCACAGAAGTAGGGCGGAAATAGCAACAGAAAAGTAGGGCGGAATTTGGCGTCAGCGGGGCTTGAAAAGTAAGGCGGAACTGCCAAGCCCTACTTACGAATCTCCCCCTCCGGAGTCAGGGGCGACCCTGCCCCAGGACCGGCTCTTCGCCCCGAGCTGTTTCGTGACGGCCCCAGGGGCCCAGCGAGGGCCCCGCGAGGGGCCAAAAATACTGAAAGACTTGCCGTCCTGATTTCTGAGCGACGCGATCCTGTCTGCAGGCGGGAGGCCGCGCCCCGCCCCGGGCGGGAGGCCGCCGCAGAGAGGGAGGGCCGCGGCCGAGCCGCGCTGCCCGCGGGCCGCGCGGCGACCGCCCGCGGAGGCCACCTGAGGGCGTGAGGGCAGCTGCACCCCGCAGGGCGTACACAGACCTCCTCCTCCTCCTCCTCCTCCTCCTCCTCCTCCTTCTCTTTCTCCTCCTCCTCCTCCTCCTCCTCCTCCTCCTCCTCCGCGTCCTCCTCCTCCACATCCTCCTCCTCCACATCCTCGGGTCGTGAGCAAAGCGCGACGCGAGATGTTTTTTTTTTTGTTTCGGCATCCAGGGGCCCCTACCGGGCCCCGGGAACGGCAAGCGACGACTCAGGCTGCAAAACGGGCCCCGTTGAAGTGCATTGGGAAACCTGCTTCCAACTAAAGCTACGTGCATTGGGAAGTCGAACCTGCTTCCCAAAAAACTGCGTGAATTGGGAACTCGAACCTGCTTCCAAAACAACAACGAATTTCCCCAAAATCAGGTTCGAATTCCCAACGCACGCAGTTCATCACTGGAAGCAACTTTTTTGGAAGCAGGTTCGACATCCCAATGCACGCAGTCCATCTCAGACCTCTGGGGGTCGACGTTGCGAACAACATCACGACGTCGGGGGTCTGGGTACGCAGGCTGGGCAGTGCGGCGCGGCTGGCGGAGCAGCGGTGTGTGTGTGTGTGTGTGTGTGAATGTGTGTGTGTGTGTGAATGTGTGTGTGTGTGAATATGTGTGTGCATATGTGTGTGAATGTGTGTGTGCGTGTGTGTGAATGTGAATGTGTGAATGTGTGAATGTGTGAATGTGTGAATGTGTGAATGTGTGAATGTGTGAATGTGTGAATGTGTGAATGTGTGTGTGTGTGTGTGTGGTGTGTGTGGGTGTGTGTGTGTGTGTGTGGTGTGTGGTGTGGTGGGGGGGATGGGGGGGGGGCGGCGTTGCAGCCGAAAATACCCTGCAGGGCGGGCTTGGCTGGCGGAGGGCAGCTGGACTTACCCCACGGGGCACGCTTTGCGGAGCGGAAGGGTGGAGGGAGGGAGGAGGACGACGAGGGAGAGGAGGGAGGAGGGAGGATCCTCCCTCCTCCCTCGAGGGAGGAGGGATCCGAGGAGGGAAAGGTACCCATGCCGCTACCCCTCCCTCGTGTTCGCCTTTTTGTCCCTCCTGGGAGGCCCTCGTGGCCACAGCTGGATTCGCCTCGCGATTTCGGCCCTAAAGCACCCCGGGAGAGGTCCAGGGAGTGGCGGTGTCGATAGTTACCCTTCGGTTTCCCAAGGGAGGGGGCAGGAGTCTAGGCCTCGCAGATGGGGTGGGAGTACAAGATGGGGTCGGAGGATCGCGCCGCATCGCCGATGCATCGGCGATGCGGCTCTATGTGGGGCTCGATTTGCTTCACGTCGACGTCGCCGATGCATCGAGTCCGGTTGGGGCCGGTTCGGGCCGGTTCGGCGGCGGCCGGTTCGGTTGCAGCGGTTCGGTTTCGGCACGGGTCCGGTTTGTGACAATTCGGTTTTGCCTCGGGACGGTTCGGTTTCGGGCGGTCCAGTTCGGGTGATCGAAAGGTTGGCGCGCCAACGAGTATTGTTGCATGTTGCGGCCGCGGATCGAACCGCGAAAAAAGCATGAGCAGGAGTGGGAGGAGGAGGAGGAGGAGGAGGAGGAGGAGGAGGAGGAGGAGGAGGAGGAGGAGGAGCCAGGAAGATGAGGAGGAGGAGGAGGAGGAGGAGGAGGAAAAGGAGGAAAAGGAGGAGGAGGAGGAGGAGGAAGGCGGGGGAGAGAGAGGGGGAGGGAGAGGAGCGAAGGCGGCGGCGACGACGATGGCGGCGCCCCTACGTCCCGGACCGGGGGGGGCCGGACCGGGGGGTCCCGGAACGGGGGGTCCCGGACCCACTTTAAAGTGAGCTGGGATACAGGCGAGAGGTAACGATCGTGTGTCCGCGGCCGTTTGGGCTCAAGCGGCTGGCCGCCCAGATCTGACTACGCTTCAGCGCGAGGTGTACCATTTGTCATCGAGACCAAAACATCCTTTGCTTGAGATGGTTCGTCGCTCCCGCGACGATCTCCTACTACTGGGACTATCGCTACTACGGTATAACAGAGCTGGAGCTGGGCTTCGCCTAAGGCGAAGCTGCTGGTTGGGCCTCCCAACCCCTTTCAAACTTGGTAGCGGAGCTGGCCTATGGTGGTCAGCTCTTGCTCTACTTCTCACCATCCACGGCACTATCTGGTGGATTACTGGACTACTGACATGGTGGAACATCAGGGTGCAGTGGGTCTGCGCGGAGGAATGTACATAACTACGCACAGCCGCAAGGACACGTGCAGTGATACCTCTGCTCACGCAGAGGCCTCTTACTCGAGTTATACATCCCTGGGCTACTACACTCCTGACGTCCACCCACCTACTCCACTTGGAAATTTCTTCGACAATACAATGCGTGGAAACATGCGATACGACATTGTGCCGCCTCCACCCCCACGCAGGCTTACGACAACACACCACAAATCCCAACCAACCACATTCGACTACGACCTACGAGGCCACTGGATTGGTATAGCTATGTTTGGCTCATATCGGTAGCTATCGGGTGTGCAGTGGGACACATGCGTGGCGGAGACGACACAAGAACAGCCAGCCCTCACTGGGACCCGGCCGGTCAAGTACCCTTCCGCGAATTTGTTCGCGAGGTGCATGCCTGGATCAACGTGGCCACAGGCACCATGATGCCCTCCCAACAAGCTGCGGCACTGCAGCGAGGCTTGGGAGGCCTCGCGCGGACCATAGCCATGAGAGTTCCCTCAGCAGTTATCATTTTTGGCGTCAACATAGGTGGCCGCCATATACCGATGGCGTCACCTACATCATGTTCCTCTTAAGCACGAAGTTCGAGAACCTAGACGAGGAACGCCAAAATCTGTGGTAAAGGTTTCATCGACTTCCGAGTCCATGCGGGGGAACGGATCGACCAGATTTTGGAACGCTTCGAGATGGACCGCTATGAAGCTGAAGCGGCAGGCTTGAACATCCCCAACTTGCAAATTCTAGCAGTTATTCTAGTAAGAGCCTTAGGAGCCATGTGTTATCGGAAGATACGGTGCCGAGGGCCGGCGCAGGCAGCCGCGTGCGGAGGCAATGCTGAATCGGCATTGGGGCTTCCTCGGCGCCTCTGGGGCCTGCTGCGGGCCTCTTTGGGGCGGAAGGCTCGGATTTTCGGTTTGTGTTCCCCCGGTGGGACTCATTTTGGGGCCGTCTTGGGGCTCTCTTGGGTTCCTTCGGCGCCTCTTGGGCCGTTGTGGTGCTCTGTTGGGCCGTTTGGGTTTCTCCTGGAGGCCTTTCGGGCCGTCTTGGGGTAGCCGGGAGTGTTGGGAAACCGAGGCGATGAGAACGCCCACATCCCTGAACACCCTGAGGAACATCAATGATGTGGGCGCGTTGAGGCTCTCTGGGGAGACCTCGGCCTCCTGGGCCGGGAGTCATCTTGGGCGTTCTTGGCGCGCTCTTTCGGCGACTCGCGGCCTTTTTGGTCCGTCTCGGGGGCTTCTTGGCGCCCTCTCATGGCCCGTCTTGGGGTCTCATGGGCCCGATGCGGTCACGCGACAAGACGCGGGGAACTCCCAGAGATTTGGGCCGAGGAGCTGCGAACCCTTCAAAAACTCCGCAAGAGCGAGGACCGAGGCTTAGAGGGGTGGCTTGAGGACCTGAGGACACGCCTAGTTGGGGCGTCGCGGGCCGTCTTCGGACGATCTTGGGGCCTCTGGCGGCTCTTTTGTGGCCTTTTTGGCGGCCCTCTTGGGGCCATTTCGGGCTCGTCTGGGGTCCTCGCAGGCCGTCCTGGAGCGCTCTTGGGCAGCCTCGGGTGGCAAGGGCCATTTTGGGGATCTCTCTTGGGGTCCTCTTGGGCCCTCTTGGGGCTGTCCTGTGGCTCCATCGGGGCAATATTGGGAGCCTTGTGGGCCCCTCTGAGGCCGTTCTTCGGCTGTCATGGGGCTCTCTGTGGCCGTCTTGCGGCTCTCTTGGGCTGGTTTGGGGCTCTCTTGGGGACTGCCTGGGCGGTCTTGGGGCGATTTGGGGGGCTTCTTTGCTTCGTGGGGGTCGTCTTGGGGGCCTCTCGGGGCGTCTTCGGGGCCTCTTGAATCCATCTGGAGACCCCCATTGGAACGTTTTTGGCTGTGTGAGGCCTCTACGAAACCATCTTAGAGGGCAGTAATAACTTGTTATTGCAAGTCATAAGTCGACGCCCCCAGGCGGGAGTGTCCCGCCGTCGGCGCACCGCGCGATGGCGGGCGCCCGCATGTCCACCCGCCACGCGCCGCCGCTACGTCGGGCGGGCCAGGCCCCGCGCGGGCATGCTGGCGTGCCGCGCGGCCGTGCGTCGGGGTCCTTCCTCCCTCCGCTCCTCCGTGCACGGTCGCGATGTCTCCTCTTTGCCGCCTGGCCGCGGGGCGGGATATCAAGTGCCCGGTCATGTCTGCAGCGCCCCCCTGCCTAGTGTGCACTCTTAAGGTGGGGCGGCTGGCCGGGGTGTGGTCCTCTGTCTGCCAGTGTGCGGCTCTGGACCAACCCTGGGGGCGACGCGCGGGGCGTCCGTTCGCCAGAGTGCGTCGGACGCGACCGCGGTCGCGCTTCTTTTCTGGCCCAGTGTGGCCCCTCGTGGGTGTCGTTGTCTAGGGCTTTTCCCTGCGGGTCCTGTGTCCCTTGGTTCACCCCGGGCCAACGCCGCTGGTCCTTGGTGACCTACGCGTTGTTTCTCCACCCTGGCGGAGTCTGTTTCACGGCCCTGAGGGGTCACGGCATTGCTATCAAGCCCAGAGTGGCCTCTTACGTCGGCCCAGTGTGACCAACGTACCCATAGGGTTCCCCCTCGCGGGTCCAGAGCGACCCTCGTCTGGCGGCCCAGAGTGGCCATTCAGTAGCAGGGCAGCCGATGCCAGCCCGCATGCCTGGCGGCCCTAGAGCGGCCAATCTTCGATCGGGCGGCCGTTGCGGCTTGCCTGTG